AATATAAATATATTAATTTAGAAAAATATATAAAAAATATATTAACTGTTTACATAATTCTAACAAAAGATGAAGGTTGTTTATTATCAGATTCTATGATAAAATAATTTACTATATCTTAGCCATATAAAACATACTTTTCTCCAAAAATTATGTTAAAAAAATTTCTTCTGTTCTGATAAGGTCGGATATGTCTAGGGAGATGAAGGCTTCCTAGATTTATATTCACTGCTTTACTTTTGAAATTATAGTCATTAGACTAATCAAATTATAATACACACAATTATAAATTACTACACAAAAAGTAAATTACTAAAATAATGTTTGTATATAAAAATAGATAACTATTAACCTAAGCGAAGCATTTGATATACTATATTTATTTCGTCTGATTTCCAATAATAAATGATCAAATTATTTGTTTCCATCTTTGTCGATATGAACAAATCCTCAGATTAATAATTCATACCAAAGATAAAAGGTATATGTTAGGCTTACGTTAGAATTTCATATCTTAGCTCTTCAAAAATGTTATTTTTCTTTAAATAATTTTCATTAAGTTATATAATAAGTGAGAATGAATTGAATCAGTTTCAGTAAAATCACTTATTGTTAAAAAAAAAACTATAATAAATCAAAGTGTACTGTAAAAAAGTATTACAAGTAGTGATTGAAAGACTATAATTCGCAAACTCCTAAGTTTACTGGGAGAGATGATAGTGAAATTTCAAAATACGAGTATATTGTCAAACGATCCACTTCACTTTATTAAGGGTGAAATGGATCACGTGCTTTTCAATTATGATAATCGAACTAATTAAACACGAACATATCAAAACAAACTCACTACATTGAAATAGTTTAAAACAAAACATTTCAAAAACATTTTTTACAAGATGAGTATGGAGAAAAGGTCCTGTTAGTGCTCACAAAGTAGAAAGAGACAAAAATGTAAAGAGGCCTGAGCCATTGTGTACTAGTAAGTAAGCGGTTCTAGGGTTCTGAACCAGAAGTTCCTCTGGACTGGTTCCTAAAAATTTCATTTTGGTTTTATTATTTAGAAAATTCCTTGGGAGCAATTTAGTCTTTTGGGAGTCAAGACGATTTATCCTTATTGACTCATCTGTCAGTTCCTATTACGTAATCAGTATAAGGTTAGGCCTTGTTCATGATGGGTGTAATTTGAGACCAGCCACATATAATCCACTTGTATTAAAGCTATAATATTATACTAATTCTATGTTCTGATGCATTTACTGTATAAATAAAACAAGTTATAATAAAAAGAACATGATAATAGATGATCATTATTTCTATTATCGTGTTCATACAGCTTCTATGAAAAAATTTTCATAAATTCTAATGATCATTTCAGCTCATCTAAATTAATCTAATGTACAGTACTTCATACTCAATGCAGTATGAAAAAAGAAAAAAAAAGCATCTTTAGATGTTGACTACTGCTACAGGATAACATTGTCAAAAATTCCTCTACTTTTGCTTAATAACAAAACTGTATTTTTATTTGTAATCATGAGCGTAGTATTTCAGTTTTTTGATGGTGCTGATAATAACTTAGAAGTATTCGCGTTTTATCGTAACTCATGCAGACAGCGGATGTCTGAGCGATTAAAGTAACAGCCTACCGCTATGGGAATTTTATCGGGGATGATCCGTCTGAATATGTTGGGCCCCGTCCCTCATCACCCTGTTGCCCCATTGTGGACCATATCGAACCAGTAATGAACTTACAAAAACATAGATGTATCTAAATATGATTTAATAAAATGACATTTAATGTAATGATTAAATGTCATTTTATTAAATCATATTTTGGGCGCGATCGTTCAAACTTCGCCGGCCACGACCTCGAGATCGTCCACGATGCATCTTCGATGAATTTAACCTATCTAATTTCAAAATTTCTCTCCGTTGCGTGTTGGACCGGGTTGAATTTTTGTCGATGCGTAACGAAAAGTTCCCGTTTTTGAAAAAAATAATCGTGGCTATTGTATCGTCCGAAATTATTTTTTTATTTTGCACAAACAATATACAGTTTAACCCGATTATAATGTCATCGAATGTAACGACAATCCTAATATAACGTCAAATTTTTATCAGTCCCACGATTTTACTATACTAGATAATGTTTAAAAAAGCCCACTTGTAACGACATAAAACCGTTTTAACGTCATATTTGAAGCACTCCCAAATTTACAAAATTAGATTACAAATTTTATTTAACCTAGAAGAAACTACAAGGTCAGAGTTCACTTCTTAGAATGACTGCGGGTGGTACTCTCCCCTACCTGACTTCGGTGGGGTGAGGTGGCTGTTTTGCCTGTTTGTAGAAAAGGGTCGCCATTTTGTATTTTATTTTGACTCGATTCTCGGTCCCCCGACTACATACGAGTCTGGATTTTTTTATGCGCAAATGATCTGGGCACCTAATACTCTGTGCCAAATATCAACTCTCGATATGTACTGTACAGTACTCTTTCATACCTCTATGCTGGTAAGAACGAGTGGCAGTACGATTTTATAAACAAGACATAATCTTGTCAATTAGATACTTAATGAAATAATATAGAAAAAAATTCGTTAGAGAAAACGAAATTATATTTTATAACAATTTTTATGAGGTATTTTCTAATAGAAAAATGTTAATAAAGTGAGGGCAAACTTACTTGAAAGATAAATATTGAATAAGTATTTTTAAATAAACCGTATTTAGCGCACCAAGATTATAATAATCCAATAAACATTATTCACTTGCTACAATTTATTGTTGATATCTCAGAAACAAATTAATTAATATTAACAATCTAAGGCATATATAAACTTAGTTAATTTGTCTAATGACTATAATTTTAAAAGTAACATCTGTTGTTTGTTAGTAATCAATTCTTTTTCTCGCGAATTGGATGGAATCAACAAGAAATGAATAGATAAGTAGTTTTGGTGATAGCACTCCTCATGTCTTCTACATTTCCACATATTTCACATATTCCATTCTTTGAAAGAAACGATAAACTTTTATAATTACCAAGTTATAAAAAAAATATCCAAAATAATAGTTTCTTATATTTTTATCTCACCAAAAGACTCGCAACAGCATCAAAAACAAATACTCAAACTTCATGTTTTTCATGCTGTTGTAAGTGATTTGGTGAGATGAAAAATTGTTATTACTTTCCCGGCTGTTATTTATAACAGAGGAAAAGTATGACGATCGGTCAAAAAAATGACCCCTCCCCGGATTTTTACATTTTGGACTTAGGACACCTTGAAACGCCGAGAAATGCAAAAAAAAAGTTGCGGGGTTTTTTCTGTATGTATGGATCTTAGTGGTGTAGCTACATATTCAGCGCCCTGGAGCAAGTAGAATTGATGCTCCCCTTGTTCCTCGGAAGAGGTCTCGTAAAATTTATTTTGAATATTTAATTTAAAACATATATCTAATTATTTCGATTCAAAACCTTACTTAATAACAATTTATTTGAGTTTCAAGTCATTTCAACAATAAGATATTCAATTTAATAAATATAAATAAAACAAAATATAATTCTTTAAGCACAAACTACCTAATAATATTTACTACATAGAGTGGAGATCTACTAAGCTGCTCCTATTGACTTCAGCGTCAGTGAAGATCCTTACGAATATCTGACTCGAGTCGATTCTTTAACTCGAGAAATGTTCTTAAGTTGGTTCGTAGAAAAGCACACCTCCACACTTAAATTATGCACTATTTACAGTTTATTTACAAACAAAAATGCAGATTACACGAGTTAGTAACATTGTATATGCAAGATGATGACACGCAGTACATTAAACAACAGATTGTCCTATCGCTCAGTCGTCCCGTTATTTAAGGGCTTGTTTGGCGGAAACTTCCGACCAATCATAATCCTTCCTTCCATCTGAAGCTTACCAAGACGTCGGCGGTCCTCCGTCGAGTCAAGCTCACAATCGCATCCGCTCTTGTTTACATTTTCTTATTTTTTTTCTTTAACAGTTTAACACAGTGTTTCTCAACGGGGGCGATATCGCCCCCGTTGAGAAACACTGTGGGCGTTTTTCCATGTTCAGGGGGCGATTAGCAACAATTTATATTTTGGAGGGCGAAAAAAACAATTTTCTGGGCGATANCAAATTTTTCAAACATTGGAGTTGTATAACAAGATAAAATTGCTCCAACTGCTCCTACTAATACTGAAGAAGCAGATCCCAAAAAAGCTGACCCAGCTAAAATTATAATGTTTTAATACATAAGTAATTTATTATAAATTATTAATTTCTATTCAGAGATTTATAAAATAACTACCTGTTACTCCCACGAGAGCAGCAAGGATACCGTTCAAAATATCACTGACGTTGTATTGCTTATTTTTCCAATATCTAAAATTTTGTTAAATATTCTACAAAAAGTTTCAAATATAATAAAAAGAATGTGTTGTTTATGTCACTAAATGCACCACGCTTTTTTCGTTTCCAAACGAAATATAGATTAAGTTACTTACGTATAGAAAATGGCAGCGATTCCTCCTCCTAATGATGCATTCATAGTGTTAATAGCAGCTCTTAAATTAAGAAAAAAAAATACTTCTTTTAAATTTATTTAAATGTTTTTCAATATTGCAAAAATTAATCATTTCTTTTTTTACCTTCCTGCATAATGCCATTTATTATTTGAAATTCCAAAAGTGCTTCCGCAGTTAAACATTAACCAACCCCACCTTAATTGGAAACGATGTATTTTATTTTTAATTTATATAAATAAGTATCGAATTGTTACTTACCATAAAGTGAAAGTTCCTACAACTGCGTTACCAGAATTTCCCATCGGTAAAGAAGCTCCCATAGCTTCAATCTTTCGTAATCGGGGTTTTAAGAGCAAACATGCAACTAAAGCAGAAGCACCACCAACTAAATGCACTGCTGAAGAACCCGCAAAGTCTAATGCACCCAAATGTTTCAAATATCCATGATCTCCCCAAATCCAACCAGCTGGTATGCAGTAGACAACGGTATTGACAAAAGAAAATATACAATAAGCGTTGAAATTTGCTCTTTCGGCCATTGCACCCGATACTATAGTAGTAGCTGTGGTTGCAAAAGATAACTGGAAAATAAAAGTTGCAAAAATAATACCCATTTCATCTGGCGATGAATCCAGTAAAAAGTAGCCGACACCACAGAAAATCGTTGTGCCAGGTTCTTTACCATATTGCAAACCATAACCGAAAACCCAATAAGACAAACCTCCAAGAATAACGTCTACTGCATTTTTTGATAGAATATTCACTTCGTTCTTTTTTGAGACGGCTCCAGATTCCAATAAACCAAAACCTGTAAAAAATTAATATTATTTTCTACGTTGAAGGGGGCGACGATTCGTTAGAGGTTGAGAAACGCTGGTTTAACATATGGTAAACGGTCTTTCGCCCGACCACCCGTGAACTCAATAAACAGAGCGACGCTCCCTTTGTTCTCCCTCCTGTTTACAAATAAGCAACGCAGGTGGGGGTAATTTACAAGGCCGTGTGACTTTTGACCTTACTCTGTTAAGAGACAACCTTTACACATAGTATATAAACTGTATTGACAAAATGCATGCAAGTTTAGTTTCATAACAAATACATAATAATACATAAAAATATCTTTAAAATAGTTGTTTTTTTTTTTGCTCTTTCGTTTGCAAATACGTCAATTGCTTTCTCCACAAGCTATTGTTTTTTCAATTGATATAGTAGCAGGAGCTAAGACGGTGTTGTGACATGCTGCTTCTTAAATACGTTTTGATTAATTTTAGTATTGAAAAACTTCGTTCTGCTGCCGCTGTCGTCGCCCATAAAGTTAAAAAAAAAAAAAAATGAGACATGCTGCAATAATGTCCGAGAACCTACTTGAGGCTGCAGTGTGAATTAAAAGTAGTTCAGCAACTTCGCTTATAGAATTAATTTTTTACCTGACTATAAAAACACATTTTAAATCGAAGCAGTTGAGTCCAAAACTAGGCCAAATCGGAGAGATATGCTGATTGTAAAAATTCTGATCCTTTCAGAATATTTTTAAATCAGATGACTTGACAAGATATGCAGGTGATAAGCACTTAAAAATTGTCCAACAGATTTAAATCTAATAGTTAATTGATTAATTATGAAATCCTAAAATTTTTTACAAATGTTTTTACAAGTTTTTATTTTGTCCTTTCTAATTTGGCCCCTATGATTCGTGCGTCTGGAGCAGGTTGCTCCAACCGCTCCACGGTAGCTACGCCTCTGATCTTAGTGTTTGTGGAGGACACGATTTTGTCACCCTCTTTGAAGCTTAATAACTCATGTGCTTTTTGTCGAAAATTTCTGAAATTTTGCAATGAGAATTGTGTATTAGGGGAAATTATGTATCTCGAGTAGAATCTAACTTAATGACAATTTTACTCGTTATTAGCATTTGCAATTTTTTTATAAAACCCATCCCTAATCTCAAAATTAAACTTTTTGCCATTTTGTAATATTATAGTACTGTAGTGTCTTGTCCCTGTACAGTACATCAGCGGTCCCCAACCTTTTTATCGCCGCGGACCGGTCAACGTTTGATAACTTTACCGCGGCCCACTGAGGGGGGACGTTGATTGTTCATATTTAGATTGATTTAATTTAATAATTTTAATTTAACTGTATTTAAATGTGCCTTCAAAATAAAATACAATTACACCAAAAAATGAATATAATGTGATTTAACATTTTAACTCACTAGTACGCTAAATCAATGAGAACCCTGAGCTTGTTTCTTTGCAAGGAGACAGTTCCATCTGGGGGTAATAGAAGACAATGACACTCGAAGTATGTTTCTTGTGTCCAGTTTATTCCGTTGTTCCGTCGTGTATTAAAAGTCGCACAAATCCGAGACAAATACACCATAGTAAATAAAATGGAAATAATTTAATGTTCCTTGGGCGGCCCTGTACCATTTGATCCACGGACCGGTACCGGTCCGCGGCCCGGGGGTTGGGGACCACTGCTGTACATCATACTTTTCCGTTAGCAATGGCGTCGTGCCGGTCATCTAACTCCTTTCAGAAGACAATTTTGAATTGAAATAACATGACTTTCGGTTTGCGTCGAAAGTTCGTATATAGTTAATCTGGTGCTTCTGCCCCTAACCTTTCCATATCTGGTCTCAGCTTTCATTTATTTCGTCATTTCATCATTCTTTCATCGTTCTCGAGATTAAGGAAAGATAGCCAGACAGACGACAGTAGAAATTTATTTATAGGTCTATAATTTTTTCAAATTGCAGCCCAAATATCTATAACTTATTAAAAATATTGGCAACTCTTCCAATAACAACATGCGTCAGTGAAAGGTCATTTTCCACCTTACATCTTTCAAAAACATATTTAAGATTTAGCATGACACAATCACGATTGAACGAACTGACTTTGCTGTATATACACAGAAAGATTAATCATTTAATATAACCAGGACTGAAGTAATTTAAGAGCTTTTTAAAAAGGAAAGAAAACTGAATTTCATTCTTTAAATAATTACCTAATGAATTTTATTCAATTCGCATTAAAATTTTTCATCCGTTTAACTCCACCCCCAAGATTAAATCCCGAGTGCGCACTGTTTTGAATAAAAATTTATACTAAATAAGTTCCAAACAATAATCATTTTAAATTCTTGTCAGGGGCCGTTATTCAGAGGTTTGACTGTATTAATTTGACTTTCCATCTATTATAAGATAAATAAATCTACGTTTATATATACGTAGATTTATTTATCACGAATTTAATTAAAAGGAACAAAATTTCGATAGTTTGAATATTCAACGTAACATTAATTGGGAAGCAATTTACAGTGACAGATAATTCTGCTTTCGTTATTTTGAATTATCTTTACAGTTGAATATTAAGATTTTGAAAGGCGAAAAATTAAATAGAAGAATTAAATAAATTTCTAATGCAAAAAAACTGTTTGGTTCTATCTGCTTCGGTTTCCGACAATATTTAGAAAAGAGTTTTGTTTCTTTTTGTTTCTTTTTTTTTGTATACAAATAATACATGGCAGTGCCCAATGAGCAAAATAACTAAGCCATCTGCTACTCTCATACAAGAGCATACAAAAGCATTTTTCTTATTTTCCATACAGAGACATTACATTTTTAATGCCATCTGCTAGAGATCATGTGCATAACCAAACAGGTTATAATCAGCTTTAATCTTAAATACATATAGTATTTATAATTTGCTCTTGATGATTTTGTACAGATTACTAGAAAAATGATAAACTTTTGTTTGAATTATTAATAAAAAGTTGGATTGTCAATACTATTTATTATATATATTTAATGCTTTGAATAAAGTTTATGATATTTAAAAATAAATTAGATATTATGATTATACAATCAATTTATTTCGATCTGAATTGATTAATCGTTACATTTAAACTATATTTACTAGGAAAATCTTTAAGACTATTCAATATTTATCATCAGAAAAGTTTTTCTTTGATAACAGTTAAGCATATTTAAAATGTTTTTCTTAAAATAATTACTATAAATTTTTAATATTATTTTATCAGTTATCAATTATTATTCCACTATTAGGTCTATAATCAATATTTTGTAAAAATAATAAATCACACTTTCATCAAAGTAAAATGCTTGCTTATGTTATCAATTGTTGTTTGTTAATAAAACCTTATCAAATTTATTTAAATTTACTGAACAATTATTTTTTATAATTCATATAAGTGATTTAATTTTAAAAATTGATCCGTCCAAGATAAATTGATCATAAACAATTCTAGATATAATATAACCCCAAATACTAAATAGAGAAAAATTATCCCTACTTTTCCCTATTATGATTATTTAGCATTTATTTTTATGAGTATAAAACATTTTTCTAATCGAACAAAACATGGCGACAAAGATTATTTTGGATATTTTATTTCAAAATTAAAGACTGTTTATATTAATCTGTAGAAATAAATGAAAATCTAACGTGATTTTTTGTTTTGCCTCATGCTTATCTCTTATTTACATAAATAAATAAATACATATATTACGTGTACAGTATATTAATATATTTGTAATGAAGAATGAAGTATTGATATTCTTCTCTGCTGAGTCCATGTCAGTATGTTTGGCGACATTACAGATAGATAAAAAATAACTCTATCAATTATAAAATATTCTTTTCATTTTAGTTCTTATAAATTCAGCCCGTGTATTATAACTCAGCGAGTTAAAATGTTTAAATTTCTTAATAGTAAAATTGAAATTTGTAAATCAATACATTATAAAACGCACAAGACTAAACAGAAAGCAGTTTAAAATTGTGAATTTTAACTGAAAATAAATTATGTATAGCAAAAATTTATTATTTATTCAAAATACCTAGCATTATAAACTCGAGGAGACAACAAAAAATAAATAAATAAATAAATAAAATAATTTATCAAAAAGCAGCTTCTCAAGGTTGAGCATTTATTTAAACGAGTTTTTAGTTTTATAAAACAAAAACTAAAACTTGCGTTTAGTCATTCAAAAGCAACGCTAATGTTTACTCATATTGGGATTATATAAATAAATATATAAAAATATAAATAAGACTATATAAATAACAAAAACATTCTTATAAATATATATAAACATTCTTAAAGATTATTAAGCACACCAAAATTAATTGGGCTGCAATATTTAAATTGCAGACAAATACACTACCATTGTCTGTTTGTTCTTCGTTAATCTCGATAACGAAGTTAGATAGATGAAAATGGAGACCTGATATGAAAAGCTCAGGGTGCGAAGACGTCGATTAACTAATTTCATGATTTCAATTTAAAATTTTTTCGAGAACGGAGTTAGATAGATAACCGACATGACTCGATTATAATCAGGAGTAGTATGATGTACTGTACAGGGACTAAACACCACTGAAATCTGGATAGATATGGATATACTCATATGAATTTCAAGTATTATTTTCAAATTTAAAAATTTGTGGGGAAGCAATTAAATATACTGATACAATAACTATTTTAGAGATACTCTATTATTGAAACTCTATTATTGAAACTTTAAAAACGGTTTATAATCTGTAAGAATGGAATATTTTGTAAGTATACAGTATGAATTTATGAATAAAAGTGAATTTCTAAATTTTGTAAGTTCATATTTAATTTAATATTTTACACCAGTTATTCTAGAAATTGATTCATTTTTTTACTTTAACTTGGAGGCATCATGGGGGGGGGCACCATACATAAAAGAAAAACTTTTGAATTGAAATAACGTAACTTCCGATGCAAAGCAGAAGTTTATATATATTATATAAGTTTATATAAAAATGCTCGAGTATAGTATTTAGCTTTTGCCGGTGTGCTAAGCTAAAAGACGTGTTCATTGCTTTCGAAAAATTTCTTCTATATTAATTTCGTTCCATACAAATTTGTTTAAATCATTTCTTTTTAATCTGGAATAGTTAAGAGTATGTTTTGATAATAATGCTTTTGAACAGAATTATTTTATGTAGCATAAGAAAATACTGCAAGGATTTTAGTACCTTGCAGTAGTATTTTCTAAAAGTTTCTTTAAATTGCTCTGTTGTTTCATAAGAAATTATTATGCTATGATTCTGTAATAACATCATACTTATTACCACGTTACTTTATTATGTAACTCATTACCACCGTCATTGCGTTTGCATTAATAACGTTTCATTCGCTTCGTACAAAACTTTTTCTTCTTTGTACGTAACTTTTTCTTTTTGTTAATTCATGTATTTGAATAAGTTTGATAATTATTTATTATCTAACAACAGACAATATTTTAATGAAAAACGAATTTACTTACTAAATATTAGCAAATGTTAACAAAATTCTGTTCACGATCAATGGTTATACGTTTAAACTTCCAGTTTAACATTTATTGAATTTAATTAACCACCACATAACTAAAGTGAATGTTATAAATTTATTTATTTTGATATATTTTACCTATATCAATGTATAATTTATGCATGTTTAAAAATCACCAATAATTTGACAAAATTAATTACATTCATTCAAATCTTCGGAAATTATAAATCAAGATATTATACAGCTAATATTTCGACGAGGTTTTTGGAAAATAACTTTAATTTCATTAAAATTATAACATGGTTTAGAATTTGAAGATGTCCAGGCTTCTATTCTTTCTTGTGTTGAAAGATATTTTAAAATAAGATATTCGTCCCATTTAGTCCTTCCAGCACTATATTTCGGCAAACGCGATGGTTTCAATTTACGTTTTTCTAGTTCTTCCAGTATTTTTTCGTAATCATAAATGTCATGTCTTATATCATGTTCTACAAAATCAGCTCCCAGAATTTCGTCTGCAAAGGTCAATCGAATAGGTACGATGAAATTAATACCCTATTGAAATAATAATAGTTTGTATTAATTAAATAGTTTATAATTTTTAATTGGTAAATTTTATAATCATACTTTGAGAATGAGAAAAGTAGTAGTTATACTCCACGAAGCAATACATAAACATGATAATAGTTGTATCCCTAATAAATAGAAACCTCCTCCTTTAAAAAGTCCTTTGTTTCCTGACGAAAGATGGAGTAGAGTATCAGCATCAATAAATAATCCAACAGCTATCATTGCCCATATTCCACCAACTGCGTGTACTGCTACAGCACCTACAGGATCATCTATCCTGAAGCGGTCTAAAATCGGAGGTATTTCATTAATGATAAGAGCACCGATTCCTCCAACTATTACAGATTCCCAAGAGTGAAATAACGATGATCCAGCTAGAGAAAAATAAAATAAAATTACTTGCTATAACAATATTTTTATATTGTATTAATAATAATAGTCTAATTTATACCTGTAACAGATACCAGTGCTCCTAGAATTGAATTTAAAATTTCGAACACAAGGAATAAGCGATTTTTATAATATCTGAAACAAAAATATCCAAAGTTAAGATGTAAATTCTATCGCACGATGCAATTATTTATTGAAAACAAAGTAAATTTTTGATCCTCTATTTTTATAATGATTTATTTCAATCAAAAATTCTTTCAATAACATTATTATCTTAGTTTATTCGCTTGAATTATCCTATTTTGATCTCAAATTAGATAATTCTGATAGGTATAGGTCAATGTTAATAAATGCATGCTTCTAAATGTGATGCTCCATAGGGAAGAGAATCATTAAGCCAAAATCTGATATGAATGTGAAGTAACCAAAATATATATTTTTTATTTCACTTAAGAATATGGGATATGCATATTGTAAATATTTTATCGATTCAAACAATAATTTTTATAAATTTACTGTTACTTACGTCATTATTATTCCTACGACACCACCGCCCAAAGATGCATTAATAGTATTAATCGCAGCTCTGTTAAGTAAATAATATTGCTAAAACATGAAATAAATTAAGCTTTATGACAAAATATATCTCTTACCTTCCTGCATAATGCCATTTATCGTTTCTAATTCCAAACGTACTTCCACAATTAAATACTAACCAACCCCACCTAAAAATTTGTTTTAATAGAGAAAGAATATAATTTAAAACAAGGCAAAAATCATGTTTTTATTTATGCGAGAAATAATAAAATTTTTCCAAACATTTACCAAAGAGTAAAAGTTCCTACTATAGCATTCGCTGGATTCCCCATGGGTATTGGATCGGTGCCATTTTTATATCTTCTGACTCGAGGTTTTAACAAAATAGCAGCTGTTAAAGCAGATGCTCCACCGGTTAAATGAACTGCACAAGATCCAGCAAAATCTATAACACCTAAATGTTTTAAAAATCCGTGGTTTCCCCATATCCAACCTGCAGGAATGCAGTAAGTGATAGTGTTAACAAAAGAAAATATACAGTACGCATTGAAATTTGCTCTTTCGGCCATGGCACCTGAAACGATAGTCGTAGCTGTTGTTGCAAAAGATAACTGGAAAATAAAAGTTGCAAAAACAATTCCCATTTCATCAGGATCTGTATCTAAAAGAAAGTCTCCTATTCCACAGAAAAATGTTGTTCCTCGACCTTTACCATATTGTAAACCATAACCATATACCCAATAGGATAATGCTCCAAAAATTACGTCTGCTGCATTCTTTACTAAAATATTTACTTCATTTTTTTTCGATATCGCTCCTGATTCTAGTAGTCCAAATCCTTAAAAAAGAAACAAAATATTTTTATTAATTTATGTTTGTCATATATTTTTTTATATTTATATTTTATAAATGTTTTAACATTGAAATGAAACGCAAAACATTTTCGAAAAAATATTTTCCTCTTATGAACAATGAGAAAAAAAAAATCTTATCACCACTTACTCACTACCACGGGGATCTAGCCATGTTCATCGTAAACACACACACACACACACACAATAAAAAAAACAACTTATCTTGTGTCAGCAACTTGTAAAAAGTTTTTAAAAAGTTTCTTTTTAATCATAAATTTATTTTTTTCTTATTTATATACAATATTGCCGAACCAAATTAGCTTCGTCATAACTAAAATTAATTTCCTTTGAAAACAAATGGTTCTTTAAACCAATTTACCCAGCATTTTGTTGTCCTAAAGCTAAAACTTAAAACTTTTATTTTTATATATTAAACAAGTATCTAATTGAATAATCTACCAAACATTTACCAAAGAGTAAAAGTTTCTACTATAGCATATGCTGGATCCCCACAGGTATTGGGTCCATGCCATTTTTATATCTTCTGACTCGACGTTTTAACAAAATAGCAGCTGTTAAAGCAAATGCTTCTACTTGTATCTAATTGAATAATTAATAGAAATAAATCGCCTCAATATGCAAAATTGTTAAAAGAATAAATAAAAAATTAAAACGATTAGGATGTTTGAAAGACTCAAGATAAAGTAGACTCCGTCAAAAAATCTTTGTTTTGTTCCTGAGATAAATATAATATATATTTATAAAAATTATATCATCAGAAGTTAATTATTAATGTAATAAATTAAATTCAATCTAATTAATATTTTAATAATTATTAAAGTAATAGAAATATTGGAATAAAAGTTACATAAGTTTGTATCCTCATTAGTATGATTGACTTTAATATTCCATACTATTAGGCTATATAACAAATAACAAAGCATGCTTCTAAAACAATGATAACACCAGGGCTGTAGAATGGTGCAAAAATCTACCGACTTCGACTCCGACCAGGGGCAAACTTCTTACCGAAATAGACCCTGCAATTCTGATGTCATCACGTGATCTCAGAATAAAAGATTTAATAAATTAGAGTTCTAATAAAGATAGAACATAGAAACTTTTTATTCCAAAGCTAAAAGACTCCTTTAAGTATGGACACAGTCAATATATATAAATACATATTCGACAATTTTTAATTTTCCGGTTATTATATATATATCAGAGGTATATATATATAAGATCAGTCAAAAAATGACCCCCTCCCAAATTTTTATATTTTTGGACTCAGGACATCTTGAAATGTCGAGATATGCAAAAGATTAGAGTTTTTCCCTGTATGTATGGATGTTAGACTGTGTGGGGGACGATTTAGTTCATCCTGTTCGAAGCCTAATAACTTCTGTGGTTTTTAAATCAGAGTCGGATGGTTTAACACGGGAGTTATTAAGCTTCAAAGTGGTTGAAACAAATCGTGCCCCCAATCACATTCTAATATCTTAGGCGAGAACATCTTAACAGGTTTTGTAGTCTACTATTAGGCCTATAAAATGACAAAATGCTTAATTTTGAGGGCAGGACGAGTTATATTTAAAAAAATTGTAAACGCTAATAACAAGTTCGAACCCCCTGGAGATATGACACATGACATGCTCGCGAATTTTTCCCCTTTAATTGACATTTTTTTGAGTTCGGGAGATCTCCAAACGTGTAGATTTGCAAAAAACTTGGAGGGTCAAATTTGGCACGATTCCAATACTTCTCCGTTTTATATACATAACAAGTTGGGAAATAAAAAGGACTCCGACAACCCTGGATAAGACATATAGGCCTATAAAAAAGATTTAAAGAATTTTAGTTTGAGATTGTAAATAAATAAAATTAAAAATGCACAAAGTTCTCAGAATATAAAATGAAATTATTATGTTTGCATTTATACAGATTTAGACAACTTTCTATATCGTAAAATAAAATCACATGATCGAAATCGATAATAATATTGGTTTATGAATGAATAAACAGAAAATTTATTTATTAAGAAACGATTTTGTTCTTTACTGGTATCTGTTATTATTTGCTATTGGCTGGAGGTGAGAAGTTTGAAAATGAAGGAAGTTCATACTATAACCAAGAAGACACTCCATTTTCTCGTTTTCGAAAAGATGTCATAACAATAATTACAAACAACATTAATTAACTAATATTCTTGTTTTAAATAACGAAAATGTTGCAGCAATTATGTAATATACATTAGTTAATATTACAGTAATTATTATGTTATACAGATATATTGTAAATGTGTTTTCTGCTGTTAATAAAGGCTAAATTTAAAATAGTAAACTACTTTAAACTTTATAATTTTATTAAATAACTTGATTTAATGAAAACAATTTAAACAAATAATATTCCAGAAATTATTTATTATTAATGTTTAATAAATGTAAAAATAAACATGTTTTAAAATAAAATAATAAAGTTAAAATCTATTTTCGACAACTATAAAAGAATAATAAAGTAATGAAAATTATATACAATAAAATTGTAAAAGTTATTTAATTTATTACTGTTAAAACATTAATATACACGGAAATGAATTAGACATACAGTTTTCATTACAGAGAAAAACATGCAGATAATTAAAGTTATGATTACTAAATAACTTGACTTTATTAAATCACAATAACAATCGCAATTAAGTATTCAAATTGCCAGTCTTCAGTGTTCACACATTTCAGTGGTCTAATTTCTACACTCAAGCACATTTTGGCACAGTTTTTATCATCAATTTTACAAAACAATCAGATATAAGGAATGTTAAACAATAAAAGATATAAATTAAATAGCCTAATAATGAACCCAGCGCCAGACATTAATATTCTTCAGATACGCAACTGTATACTTACTTTTGTGCCTCCTGTATAATAATACATTTTTTTTCCTTTCAAGTAAATTATTAGAAAAATTAATATTGAAATTATTTAAGAATTCCATATATTGTGTTAATCATTATAACTAATATCTACACGTTTTGAACAAATATTATTAGTTTTACATGAAATATTTCGGTTAGAAAATTACTGACACATTAAACTTTAAATAGTTTACGTGAATTTTCTGCTGATATTATCAGAAATAAAAAATTTAATTTCGACTATTGTATTAAAATATGTATATTGTCCGATATATATTATATTCTACGCATATATCGGCAACTTGTAAACAAGAAAATTGTAAGCAATAATATATTATAGTCCTATAACATTATGACCATCACCCACCTGTCTGCATGGTAAAAATTACAAACGAAGATGTCAATATCCAAGTGGCATCATCTGCATCTAAAAGATTTAACTCGGTTGAATTATCGCTTGTTGTTTCATTAGACATCACAATAAAATCATAAACTAACGACAATACGATGTTAGATAGATAAGTGTATATACTCCTATGAAAACTTCAATTGCATGTTCATTATCGATTGAACTATATTTGGCTAAGCATTTATCGACCAACTTTGCATGTGGTTTCTGTAGGTAAATAATATCTCTTATAATATTGATAAATTACAAAATACATTAATAATATTGTCATTAATCATAATCAATTTTAATATTTATTTGATATTTGTGATATTACATTCCCAGCTGTTATAATACAATAGAGAGAAAGTATGGCAATCGGTCAAAAAAATGGCCCCTCTCAAATTTATACATTTTTGGACTTAGAAGATTTTGAAACGTCGAGAAATGCAAAACAATTGCGGGTTTTTTCTGTATGTATGGATGTTTGTACGGGGGCACGATTTTGTTCACTCTCTTTGAAGTTTAATAGCTCCTGTGCTTCAAAAATTTTTGAAATTTTGCAGAGAGATTTGCGTATTAGGGGAAATGATGCTATTATATTTCGGTGATTAAAGGTCAACGGAGTGAGGAGATAATGGAGGTCGTGTGTACCTCCACTAGGATCAAACTTAATAGCGATTTTACTCGTTATCAGCATTTACAATTTTTTATAAAACCCATCCCTACCCTTAAAATTAAATTTTTTTTCTGACATTTTATAATAATTAAAAATATAAAAAGTTATTTTTAATAAAATATCGTAACAAATGGTGCTACCAAATGTCGCCAAGGAAAGTTAAGCAACTCGCTGCTAGATTTTTTAATAATTATTTTAAGATAGAAGAATTATTATAACTATAGTTTAGTTGATTTTTTAAATTATATACCTGCTAACGATTCTAATGTCTTTCCTGTATTCATAATATGCTAGAACCACACGAAGGCTCTGGCATATTATGAATGCAGAGTAGGTCAATTATATACACTTCTGGAGAATGAAGAACAATATTCCGGCCACAGTTAACTATAGAAAGCCATAAGACCTGATCGTATTCGGAAAATAAACAGCACGAAAAGATTAATTGGAAAATGATTAAGATTAAATAAATCAGGTGAAAAATTAAACAAATTTCAATGAAAATTTAGAATGTTGCATATTCATATGATATACTCGTATAATCATATAATATTTTGTTAATCATGTACAAATTTATATAGTGTAAATAAATACAAATAAACGTTACCATAAATATTAGATAACCTTTTGGCGTCTGTAAATTACTGAATTTATGATTTTGTATTGCAAATAACATTGCTATTATCAAATGTTGTGTGTAGATAAGCGAAGCAATTCTTTTAAGTGAACAGAACTTTTATGAGTCATTCACATTAATGCCTGCACGACACTGGATCAGACAAGACAGACTTAGTCAAGACGTTTTGTCTGAAGCATTTGACAGTTTAGCATCGCACCAGATTAGTCAATGTGTCTGAAACAAAAAGCCAGTACTAAGTTGCTAATTGTTTAATGGAGTAAAATAGTAAAACAGGATCAAAAGTTTGAAAACTAAAAGACGAAATATGAAAAAAAACTTTTTATTAAAAAGTTTGCATTCCTTATTTTATTATTAATAATTTTGTGAGGCCTGCAGTACAATGAAATTATATATATTTCTTGCATCACTGGTCATTACTTTCAAAGTTTTCACTATCATTTTCGAACTGGAGCCTTCAGAAGAAAATTATAAGTGGTCTTTCTTGTACCAACACCGACAACGTTCCACCGTCAACTTCAATTTTGTTTGGATTACTTGTGCGCTTGCTCTGGCTGGCATGCACACAACAGTCTGTCTGATACACATATCAGACACAACGAAGCTCAAGCTACCATCGTCTTTTTAACTAATCATGACTAAAACTGTCTCAGACAAGATGACTGATCCAGTGTGCGGCGTCCCTTTCAATACGATAAAAACACCGTTTTACTCTGTTTCAGGCGGTTTTGTCTTGCCTCAAAGTGTCTAAGACTCTCTTGTGTGATTCAGTGTGATGCCAACCTAATGATTAATTCATTGAATCTCGTTTTCGTTCACTAAATCATCAATGAGGTGCTAGATTTCTAAATGTCTTCTAGATGTCTACTGGCATTTAATTACAACATTGAGTAATATACTATAGATTTTTTACTNAAAAAAATAAATATGCTCAATTTTTTATGAATATAATCATGTGATTTATCACAATAAATGTTGCACACATTAGAAATTTTAAATGTAAAAATGAAATTTCTAGAATCTGCATAAAACTTTAAAATATACACTAAAATCTGTAAATTTAACATACGTCCCTTAAAAATTTTAATTTATATCATATAAACTAAAATTTTTAATTTTTCCATTAAGAATAGTTTATAGTAAATTATTTTACAAACAACAAATTGAAAAATCATTTGACTTCTAAACAGATAAAGATCGATTTATTGAAATGACAATATTTTTATATTTTATTATAATTTATATTAATGGAAATAAATCAATGTAATTATAATTAGGGGCTGTCCATAAATGACGTCCACACTGGGAGGGAGAGAGAAGGTTATGACAAGTAAGACAAGATCGGACAAGAGGAAGGGAAAGGTTGACCTCAATGGACTATTGTTTTATTTCATTACATTTTATACAGTTTATACATTTCATTATTCATAAAGTGGTAAATATTTTGAGGAAAGGTTGAGTTTTGTTGAACGTCCGAAGAGAGGAGGGGTTACGGATACTTGGACAAACTGGGGCAATCGGTGAGGGGAGTAAAAATTCCAAGAAAAATGCGGACAGTCCCTTATAATTACATTGAATATATATTCATATAAATTTGATTTGAACTATTTAATGAATTAAATTGATGGAAATTTAAGAACCAAAATATTTCCTGGCATTTTCCATTAATGTTTTCATAAAATTTTGAATCATAGATTGCCATGCTTCTATTCCCATTGCATTTCCTCCCATCATATTTCCACTCATCTGTCGTGCGTTGGGATTTCCACCACTTGGTGGACCTCCTGCACCTGGGTTACCTCCTGCTTCCGGCCCACCTCCGCCTCCGCCTCCGCCTCCACCTCCTCCTTGTCCGGGTCCACCAAAAATGAAAATACCACAGCGTTTAATCCTATAAACTTTTCTTTCTTCAACAGGAATGTCTGTAAATTGCATAGTCAAATTAATTAAGTATTAATAATTAAGTAAATTTAATTAAGTATACTATAATTTAGAACATTGTAGAAACAAAACTTCGTAAAAATATTTAACAGAAAAATTAACATAGATAAAATAGTTGACATTATAGAAGGTTTACAAATTGTATACAGCGATAATAGATTTCGAATTATCGCCAGAACAACGACTCCACTCAAAATAAACCAAGATCAAGATTAGATAAATCTATTAACATTTACAATATCTATAACTATAATATATGAATATAAATTTTGATTCGAAATGAGATTTAGAATTAAAATTTGTCGTTAACAAGTCTCTACCTAGCCTATTAGCCTATACTTATTTTCTAATGAGACTTCATCTAGAGAACAATTGATTTTAATCGTATATTAATAGAATGACTTTCTTTATTAATAAATAAAACAATCTTCCATGTATAAACATGATTATATATACTAAGATTTATATTTTAGAAGCTTAGATTATTAATATTAAAAAAATATTAAGAAAATTAATGATTTAAATTAATAATTAAAATTATATGACTAAACTTTTTCTATTGCTTTCTATTAAAGTTATGATATTACCATTTTATTATAAACGTAATTTTAATACATACCATTATCTCCAAAAACTGTAGTTAGTACAATTAAACTTATCAGACTGTACACAATCATTTGCCCCATTTTTCCTACTGCATTACTGAATTTTGGCCTTAAATATTCGGTTTAATTGTCGTGATCACATGTTTAATTTACACAGGTGAATTGTTTTCACGATATTTTCTTCCTCGTTCTCTTTATAAACCGTGTTTTCAAGGAAATAAGCATTGCATAAATTCAAGGCTGTAATTTTGAAATCAGTACAATAAGATCATTTAAATTATACTGACCGAATAGGAATTATAGAAATTTAATAAGCAATATATCAACTTCTGAATAGTTTCTATGAAAAAGGATTGTTTAACAACATTTTAATTGTAGCTACAAAAATAATAATATTAAAATGTAATTTAAGCAATATTTTATATTTTTCGTCAACAATAATTAATGTAATACTTTTTGTGAAGTTTTTATTTTGTTAATTCTAATATAGAAATAATACAGCAAACATAAATGTAGGATATCTGTATTAAATAAATACAGTTTAATTGTAATTACGTTCTAAAAATCCTAAAATTCCAAAAATTAAAACGTTTAAAATGCTTGCTATATCAGTAGACCCATAGTTTAATTTATAATAAAAGTATATTTTGTGTAATGTATAAAAGATAAATTGTTTTTATCTATAAAAAATTATACGTTAATAAATTGGAACAAATTTATATTAAAAATATTCAGTTATTGTTTTTATATTAATTTAAAACAAGAGACGAATGGGAAAAGAGTCTATATAAGCTGAATGCATTCGTATAGTGTTTCTTCATTAAATTAATGTTAAATTATTATAATTTAAATTTTAATAAATAAACGAAAGAATATTTTATTGATAAATAACATTGAATAGAAAATTTTGTGAATTATTTGAAAAGCAAAAATTCATAGCAATAAAAATATAAAGACCTCGGAGAATCTATTAGGCCGGGTTTCAACTTTCATGTAATGTTTTTCAAATAACCAATCACGTATACTGTAATATACAATGGAGTTTTATTGGTTATTTAAGAAAACTTTGATATTCTATACGTGCGTTATGTGCAAATGTAAATCTAGCTGCCAGACTCCAAACTCGATTTGTAAACCGAATATCACGAACCTGAAATAGTTCATGGAGATCGCTATAATATTTTTCTTTTTACAGATACCTTTGAAATGAATAAATAATATACAAG